CCCACCCCTCGGCCCCGCCCCTCCTCTAGCGGCTCCTACTCCTGTCCATCTTCCCGCAGGCCCGCCCCAGTTACTATTAGGCTCCACCCAAACTGAAGAGGCACTGGCCTACGACTACGCATGCCCAATTTTCTTTTTTGGACTAAGTGCGCCCCGTCCTTCAAACCAAAGCTAATAACGCGCATGCTCGATTCCCAAGGCGTTTGATACCTAGTTTATGCAGGCCCCACCCCGGATGTGAAGTTTCCAGCACTCAAGCGGCTCGTTCGTATTTGCATAGCCCTGCCCACGGTCCCCTTTAGGGCTCCCCAGCCCCGCCGCCAAGACGTGTGCTGCCTCTGCTCCCTGAGGAACGTGACCTCACGGTCGCCTGGTGAGCAGGGTGTGAGGCCTGGCAGGGCCTGCGTGACCCTCAGAGCCAGGATCGTCTAGACTGCTTGGCTCTTGGCCCCAAGTGGCTCTAATGTCCTGGCAGTCAACCTCCGCTGCGCCCTCCTGGACCTTCTCGGGGTCGTCTCAACTGCTCCCACCCTCGAAACTTCCCCCGTCCACGAGAACAACTTGTTCAACCACGCAGAAAATGTTCCCTTATCTCGGGGACAGGAACACAGGATACATCTCCAAATCGACCGTGTTTGGCATGGCTCTTGGGGAACGTGGGCTGCCCACCTGGTACAGATATATGACCAAGCTATTTGGAGACTCACTAAGCTCTGGCAGTATTTTGATTCTCTTCCCAGGATTTACATTTTACCAATTACAAATTTTTTTTCTTTTGAGGGAGGATGGTCAGGGTCTCTTGTAGCCTAGGCTGGCCTGGAATTCAATATGTAGCTGAGGATAGCCTTGAATGCTGTTATTGCTGCACAATGTTTATACAGGGCTGGGAAGTGAACGTAGGGCTTTGTGCATGCTAGGCAAACACTGTCAGCTGAGCTACACTCCCAGTCCCAATTACAGTTTTAGTAACGAGTTTGTGCATTTTTAAAAACGAATTTCTGTCTCTCCATCAGGAAAACGAGATGCAGACATCAATTTTACAAGATTGTGGTACAGATTAAATGTCAGTCTCAGGAATCTGCTCCCGAACGTGTAGGCGTTCTCGTTCATTATATTATCGCCCTCCCTGCCTTTGGAAATGTACCAGGGCAAGGACCCAGGGCCAAGCTTTGCAGCTCAGGCTTAAAGGCTAAGGCGCTGATAGGAATAACTCCCCACCCTGGGTGGGCCCGGATGAACATGACTCTTCCGTGTCTGACCCCCACCACAGTCTTTCAGAAGCTCAGGCCTCTTCTTTCTGCCCAGCCCCCTCTCCAAACCACACTTGCTGCTCCTGGCCCCACCAGCACGGCTCGAATCTCCATCTCCGTTTGCTGCCCTCTAGTGATGGTTTCCTGCCTCCAGCTCTCCAGATGCCCAGCCAGAGCTAGGGACGTGAAAAACAATACTGACCTCATTCCCAATCAGTGCAGCATCCCTTCCTGTCACCTCTGCCTTGGTCAGGTCACCAGGTCCCAACCCAGCTCTGGACAGTTGGTAGGGACCCTCAGGACCACTGTGACAATGGTAACCACTACACAAGGAGGTGTAAGTGCAGGAGCCCACCTTGTGCCTCCCTAGTACCAGTTCTAGCTGGTTACTTTGAGAAATACCCTGCTCCAGGCAATTCTCCTGTTGCTGTGTCCTCCCTCAATCCCCAGCGGGAGGTGGGCGGCTTGGAGCACACCCACAGATGGCTCATAGGAGCAGGGTTCCTCTTGTGCACATCAGCTGCACCTACTTCTCCAAAGTCACTCACTGTGTTCCTGTTTATCTCTTGGTCACTGACGAGGTCACCTTGGGACCACATTTGGCCTCAGAAATCTCAGTGTGGCTCACTGGGACTCATCACAGAGTGACTTCGTAACATCATGGGTACCTAATCCATTCTCTTCCCCAGAGCTCCTGGATGTTACTCAAGAGCTGGTAGCCAGGGCAGAGTAGGGCAGTGCCAGGGGCCAAAGACATCTCCACACCCAGTCTGAGCCTGGTTTCAGGAAATGTGACTCTATACCTCCCACTCTTCTTGGCTCACCCCGGGCTGACCCAGACACACCCTCTCAAGTCCATAGATCCATCTAGGAAGCCATAGGTCACCATCATGAGCCTAGGCAACCTTCCCAATGCCAGGGTCTACATCTGCTCTGAGGACTACTCCCCATTCCCCTTCCATGGCCTCATTTCTTAGGTAAGAAGCTGCGGATGCAGGCGGGGAGGAGACGAGATAGCAGAGCCAGCCCACGGTGCGAGCGAGCAGGACTCAATTCATCTCCCAGCCTTCACCCTCACCTACGACTTCCTTCATCGCCTCACTTCTCACACCTAGGCTCTTGCTTGTTCCCTCTGCTGAGATGCCCTGGAATCCGAGCTCTCTGCTCCCCCAACACCAGCACATGTTCAACAGACTAGCCCTCGTGGCTTTTCCCTCTTCAGGGTATCTCAAAGTGCACCCATTACCCTGCCCCGTGCACAGGACGTGTTGGGATGCCATTGTGCACTCAAGTATGAATACGGCTAGCTCAGCCCTTCTCCACCATGAACCTAACTGGCCTGACCCTGGATGGCTCCCTAGGCACCTTTTGTACTGACCAATGGGCCGCCTCCTAGTATCCCTATTATAGAAGCCATTTGATCCAAGTCCTCAACCCTCGCTTCTCAAGGCTCAAAATCTTGCCACTCTCTATCTTCTGCCCTGTCCTGGCTGTACCAGTGAGCCACCATTTACAACAGCAAGATGCAGGGCCCATCCCTACCACACAAATGCACGCTAGCATGCTCATGCATACACACAGAACATACATATTCATTAGTCGGCCCTTGCTCTTCCTCTTTATTCCCCGACCAGATGCTGCTTTGCTGGGTGCAGGGACTTCCCAGGAGTCCTAGCTTCCTCTGGCCATTTTCAAAACTGTCCCCACCATCCTTCTGAGCCCAGAGTTCACAGTGTGAGGTTCCACTCTGGGGATCCAGCCATGTGAGTGGCAGCTTGGGAACCCTGATCTGTACTTCTTGATTCTAGCCTGGCACAGGGCACACAGTAGGTGCTGCAAGTGATTCAGAGCTAGCCAAGGTGCCAAAACAGCTCAGAAAGGCTTACGGAAAAGACAGAGTACACAGTAGGTGTGTAGAGAAACTCAGGACCAGCACAGAGCACACAGTAGGTGCCCTAGAAATACAAGCTTAAAGGCTAAGAAGGCACTATCTGAAAAACTTCCCAGACCGGGTGACCCTGATGAACAAGACCCCTTGGAGGCCAGCAAGAGGTATATTGGGGAGAGCCTTAGGCAGTTCCAGCTGCCTGGCCCTCCGCCTTGGCTGAAGGAAGATACTATTTATAGTCATCCCACCTTGGTCCAGGCCCCTGTTCCCAACGAGGCCCCAGTTTTTTCTCCCCCTCAGGCCGTTGATAGACTGATGCCCTCTCAGAGCACTCTGAGAGACTCCCAGCGCCCTCATGCCCCCTCCAACACCATCTTCACTACACCCAGGTCTTCTCCCAATCCCCACCGTCCCCAGACTACCCAGTGCCTACCCTGCCCGTCGCTCTCCCGCCCAGGGCCAGTCAGAGAGGTGCCTCCTAATGTACCTCTGTCCATCCTGCCACCGAACTGTCCAGGGCCGCCGCCCCCACCCCCCAACCCCTCCCGCGGTTCGGCAAGGCTAAGGAAACCCCGCCCCCCCTTGCTGGCTCAGAGGAAAACGGCCCCGCCTTTCCAACCGTCCTAGACCCGCCCCCGAGGGCTGCTTTGCCCAGTGAGGTTGCCAGGCCCCCATCCAGACAGGCAGCTGCACTCTGCGCTCAGGCCAGTTGGAGCTGCCGGTAGCTCCGGGCGTCCCTCCTGAACGTGTTGTCGACACCACTGGGAGCTCCTGCCTCATCCACAGGCAAATAGAATCACACGCCCCAGAAAGTCAGTCTCTTCAGCCCAGCAATGGGGGGAATGGGGGTGGGGGCGTAAAGAAGGTGAAACCTACTCATTTTACAGTGAGCAGGTCAGAGGGTAGGGAGCGAAGGTGAATGGAAGGGCAGCAGAGAAGCCAGGTGTGACTCAGCCCTCATGTGTCACTGCCTGGGTGACTCGGTGCATCCTACCTTTCAATCATCTCCCATTTATTGAGCGCCTCCTGCAGCCACAACTTTCATGTACACCATTCACTCTGAGCTACAAGAAGCTTGGTGGCATCACTCTGCTTTACAGTTGAGGAAGTTGGGGCTCAGAAAATGGGAGCAGCTTTGCTTCGGACAGTTCATCAAGGAGAGCATAGAGTTAGCTTGGAGCTCCAGCTGTATCCACCCCCTCTCTGAGCCAGGCTGTCCACTGACCTGGCAGGGCTGCTGGCTGTATCTAGGACAATGCTTGGCTGGGTATTGTGTGCAGATTTGGGAGTCAAACACCCTTTTTCCCCAGTCTTTCTCACATGTCTCCAACCCTTGCTCACACAGAGCTGTCAGAGATTTATAGCAGGCAGACACACACATGCAACTGCCAAGGTCAGATTTCTCACATGTGGCCATCTATGCCTCTGCCTGGAGATGTCTCTGATAACCACATCCAACTAAGCAGGGTGCTGCCTAACAGAGTGCAAAACACGGGGTGACACATGCTTGTAATCCTAACACTCAGAGCAAAGGCTGAAGGATTGCTACAAGTTTGAGACCAGCCTGGTCACATAGCAAGTTCTAGGACATGCAAGGGTTCCATTGTAGGATTGTCTTTAAAAACAAACACACAAGACAAGCATATGGCCCTTGCCAGCACCCTCTTCTGTGGAGACCTCAGGTGGGGCCCGGGCCAGTGGGCTTTAGATGGATCTTGGATGCAGTCCTGGGGTCCTGGCCTCAACATTTAATGATGGAGCCAGGCATGACATGGTTCTATATAGCAAACATACATGCAGTATTCAAGATGCCCAAACACATGTAAGTATAAAAGGCACAGAAGCATGTGGGGGCCCCCACACAGCCAAGCTGTCTGAACATACTGTGGACACTCTGAAGCTCTGGCAGTGACCCACTATGGTAAAATCTGGGTATGCGCTCTGCCTAGGTATAGTACTGTCCAACTTTATGGCTGTCCTCCAGAACTTCCCATCCAGGGTCACCCCATCTTTATGACCCCCTTCTCTCAGTCTTAGCGGCGGCCAACACGAGCTAGTATTCGGGCGTTAGTGGCAGCCTGATCCCTGGCAGCCTTGGTCCGAGCCTGCTCCAGTAAGATCCGCAGGAGGCCGATGGGGACATCCAGGGAGAGTGTGACACGTGTGTCCAGGTGAGGGTTAGCTTTGGAGTCGCTCCAGGAAGCTGAGGGCCCTGTGGTGGCAGCTGAGTGGCTCTCCACGGCCACAGAGTAGGGAAGAGTCTCCAGATGGTTCTGAGGGAGGAGCTGGGAGGTGGGGACAGGGGTCCCTGAGACAAACAGGACCATGAGCATCACCAGGGCCCACCTGGCCGTCATGCTATAAGGCTGTAAGGAGAAAACAGGCTCAGGGTCTGGACGGTCTTTTTTTTTTTTTTTTTTTGTTCTTCGAGACAGGGTTTCTCTGTGGCTTTGGAGCCTGTCCTGGAACTAGCTCTTGTAGACCAGGCTGGTCTCGAACTCACAGAGATCCGCCTGCCTCTGCCTCCCGAGTGCTGGGATTAAAGGCGTGCGCCACCACCGCCCTGCTTGGTCTGGACGTTCTTTAGAAGGAGACAGACTGCAAGAGGCAAGAGACGAAGAGGGGCTGGAGAGATTACAGAGGCCAGGAACAGAGACAGAGAGGGAGTTAAAGAAATGAGAAGAAAGCCAAGACAGGACCAGACAGAGGCAGGAGCCAGATAGAAAGAATGAAAACGTGTCCTGAGGCATGGTGGTGTGTGTCTATAATGTGTCCTGAGGCACAGTGGTGTGCATCTATGTGTCCTGAGGCATGGTGGCGTGTGTCTATAATGTGTCCTGAGGCATGGTGGCGTGTGTCTATAATGTGTCCTGAGGCATGGTAGTTATGTCTATGATCTCAGCACCTGGGAGGCTGAGGCAGGATCAAATTTGAAGGCAGCTAGGTTACATAATGAGACCCTGTCTAAAAACTCCAAAGACAACAGAAGAAGAACAAGTAGGAGGTAAGGACAAAGATAACCAGGGGCAGAGAAAGAAGGAGGCTGGGCTGGCAGGGGGAGGGGCAGGGGAGGAAGAGAAGAAGATGAATGGGGCAGGGACAAAGCAAATGGGGACGGGAAGAAGAAAGACAAGGCACGAAGAGAAAGAAACCACCTGAAGTCATCTAGAGGAAAAGAAAGACTCAGAAACAGAGACGGCCCACATGACAAAATGGAGACAGGTTCTGAGTGGCAGTGGGGACAGAGGGGGACAAGAGACCCCAGAACCTCCCAGTCTCCCAGACATCCCCACCCACCCAAATCCCAGGACCACTCAACCCCAGACCCTTCCCATCCTGACCCAATGTCAGTCATACCATTGCCAGCTTCCTCCAGGGAAGGCCGGGGACACTGGAGCTGCTGGGGCTAGGGCCAGGCAATGCTCTCCTGCGACCTGACCCTTTACTCCACTTAAGGCCCATTTATCTCCCCCAGCCTCCTGGGGTAGGAGCTAGGGCATGTTTCCTGGCATGAGGCAGCCCCCCCCACCTATGACTCATCCCCTCCTGGGGAGCAGTAAGGACATCTCCTTAGCTCCCACCCTATTTACATCTGGGGGGGGCAAGCTAGGGGAATAAGAGCACAGAAAAGAACCAGGGCCAGGTATGAGGACTCTATGCCATGCAATATAATGCTGACTACCCCTCCCTGCAAGGAAATTTGTTTCCTGATACCCCCATCGCACCCAAAAAATCAACAACGAAGGCCTTTTAAAAGAGCAGCTTTAATGTTCCCCCCTCCCCGAATCAGCACCATGGCATCACAGCCTTGGGTCAAGGGGCAGGTCGGACACCAGTCATATCCATTCACTACCCACAACCACCCCCATGAGTCATCTGCCAGGAAAGCAGGCGCCACAATGGGGATTTGTCCCTAAGGGGGAAAGCTAGACCCACAGGACCAAGTCACTGAAATCGTGGACACCACGCACGCTCACGTGCACACAGAACTCTAGCACCAAACGGAGATCGGCAGGACCCTGCTGAGCCCTGCCACCTCCAGGGACTGCTGACCATCAAACGTGTCATTCAGGCCTCAGCCCTAGGCAGCACCTGTGTGGAAAACACCAGAAAACATCCTGACCTTCTTTCCCAACATGAAACCTGTACAGAAACATGGCAAAGCATTCGTGAGGGATTGAGAGTGGGCTCTGACTAAGAGAGGGGACCCTTGACAAAAAGGAACATGGAGAGGAACCACGCAGGCCCCACAGCTGGGGAAATGTAGCCACACTGATACGTGCAGGTGCAGCGTCACTGAGAGAATCTAAGCCCCTACCTGTTTTCTGGCTGTGGACCACTTGAGGTGGGCAGCGGCGCTCACACGCCTCACGGGTTCCAAAACGGTTGGCATTCCCTCCGCAGCCACCGTAGACAAAGGGATGACAGGCAGTGCCACCAGGCACAGCCCGATGGTACCAGCGCAGGGTGTAGGCAGTACAGGAGCCCTCATCCAGTGGTAGGGAGCAGGGGTCTAGGGTTATTGGTGGTTAGTCATTGGGGATAATGGGGGGTCAGAGGAATCCAAAATCAGCAAAAGATCAGCAATGGGATGGGCTTCATCTGCCACTACCTGAACCTCTCTGGTCCCAGCCCTTGCTATCACCGTCGCCATCCCAAGGAACCTCGGGGTCCTGGTAGTCTTCCACAGAATACACCGAGTACTCAGAGAAGTCGTCGTCATCTTCAGGGGGTACCTGGCCTGCAGGCAGGGTGGGGTATGCTTTGAGGAGGTTCCTGCTGGCTCTGGGATAGAGTAGACAGCATCTCTCTCCCCCATGTGCAGAAATGTGTGTGTGTGTCCTGTATGTAGACTATATATGTGCAATGTGCACTGATATACGTATCTGTACCCAGTCTGTATATGCCCCAAGGGTTACCAGCCTCACCTTCCTCCTCTACATGAGAGACCCGGAGCACAGGCACACGGTGGAGCTGGGGGCCAGCTGTATCCGCAGCATAGCTGGGGAGGGGTCCTAGAACAGGGCAGTGATGACGCTCTTGGTTGTCATGGTCAGCCACCCTAGCCACACCCCTGCTGAGCGGACCCAAATGATAGGCAGAGCATCAGTGCCTTAGATGAAGAAAGTTCTAGATACAGAAAGTTACTCACGTGATCCAGATGCAATAAACTGTCCCTGGCAGGCTGGAAGGGACAGAAAAAAAGGTAGAATGAAGTCATGAAAAGTGAAGAACAAGAGGCAAAAAGATGGGAAGATGGAGAAAGAGAAACAGACAAAAGACACATGCGTGTGTGGGGTAAGATGTACAGAGATACAGCAGGAGAGTCAGTGAGAGCCAGAGGAGTCAGAAGGGAGAACAGGCAAGAGGTAAAGAAGGGAAGGGAGGAGAAAGACTGGAAGAAATATAGAGATGATGAGCCGGCAGGAAAGAGAAGCTGGAAATAAACCAGGGAAGCGAGAGACCAAGGAAGTCGGGGCAGGAGGCACAGAGATGAAACCGGTCACAGTGGGGAGAAATGGGGTCCCAGGATCATCACTCCCCACCTGTGCCACATCTTCTGGGACAGCTCTGTCCCCCACTCTATCCCTCCAGCCCACATCTGTCCCCCTCCATCAAGGGAGTCCTGTTAGCATGTGGCCCTCTGTGAGTTCTGGGAACTTGCCAGCTCTAGGTGTCCTAGGATGGGGTTGGGGCAGGAGACTCCACATGAGACCCACTCACCACAGTGCTGACTCATCTCCTGACGCACAAAGCCCCGAATGTCATCCTCCTGGGAACACAAGACCACAAGGCCCCCAAGAACCCATGAATCATGGGTCGCATAATGCAGGGATCAAAGACTAGTCATATCAAATCAAGAGCTCTGGGACCAGGGAGTCAGGGTGCCGGGTGACCCATTCCCACCCAGGCCAAACTCACAGTCAGTGCTGCTTCTCCTTTCTCCCCACGAGGGCCAGCAGGTCCTGGTCGCCCCTGTGCACAACAAATGTGACCAGGTCATGACAGATCTCACAGGCACCAGAGATCATGCCAATCTCTGACTCCAAACCCAGGAATCGACACTCACCTGCTCCCCTCTCTCACCGGGGGTACCAGGAGCACCAGGAGCCCCCACCACACTCTCTCCAGGGGGGCCTCGCTCACCCTGTTAACACAAGGACCAAGTGGGCAGGGTCAGTGACAGAGCAGAATACAGGCAACGGGAGGACCATGGCTCCAGAGACTGGAACATGGAGATCAGAGCACGGTTGTAGGATCATGGCTTAGAGAGGTGGGGATGGCTGGGAGAACTTGGAGTGTAGCTTAGCAATACAGCACCTGCTTAGCCTGTGTAAGGCCCTGGGCTATTCAAAATGAGAAAGCCAAGCTGGAGAGACGGCTCGGCAGTTACAGTATTTGCTGTTCTTATAAAGGACCAAGGCTTGGTTCCCAGCACCCACTTGGTGGCTCACAACCTTCTGAACTCCAGTTCCAGGGGATCTAATGCCCTCTTCTGGCCTTCTCAGGCACCAGGAAGACATATGGTGCACAGACCTATGTTCAGGCACAACATTCATATACATAGAATAAAACAAATGTAAGAACACAAAGCCAGCATGGTGGCACATGTCTTTAATCTCAGCACCTGAGAGGCAAAGGCAGGAAGAATTCTGAATTTGAGACTAGCCTGGTCCACACAGAGAGTTTCAAGCCACCCAAGGCTACATAGTGAGATCCTGTCTAAAACAACAACCAAAGCAGGGCGGGTAGGGTCAAGGGTCAGGAGTCACAGATGAAGAAACGTACCTTCTGACCCTGAAGTCCTTCAGGGCCTTTGGGACCAACCCCGCCAGGTGACCCTGGGGGACCACTAGAGCCATCATTCCCTTTGGGACCTGGGAAGCCCCCAACTCCTGGGGGCCCCTGTGGATAGAAAAGCATTGGTGACAAAAACCCCTTCAAGATGAAACCGCTCCCCTCAGATCATGAACCCCACATCAACTCACCCTCTCCCCTTTCTCGCCTTGGTCACCCTTGGGTCCTGACTGCCCATCAAAGCCTCTGTCGCCCTGGAAACAGAAGAAGCAGAAAATACACTCAGCCCTGACATCCCTCCCTTCACTCCTGCACATCCTTGAGCTTTGTACACCCCCTGACCAATGCCCTCTACAGTGGATGATCCAGCCATCTGTTAATGTTTCAACTGTAATCCCACGGCACCAACCCCACTCAATCCAATACAACATGACCCCCTCTCTCACCTTCTTCCCTTTTACCCTAACTTTCTACTGTGACCCCAATCTCTCCTGAAATCTCAAGAACAGCCACACAAGTTCCCCCCAAAGCCACAGTCCTCCTTGATCCTATCATGACT